GGTTGAGCTATAGGCGCCGAGCCAAAACTTTTTTTTTGAGACCAAGTCTCACTCTGTAGCCCTGGGTAGAGTGCCATGGCATCATGACTCAGAGCAACTCTTGGGTTGAGAGAGCCTCTTGCCTCAGCCTCCCAAGTAGCTGCAGCTACCAGCGCCTGCCACTATGTCCAGCTAGTTTTTCTACTTTTTGGTAGAGACAGGGTCTCATTCTTCCTTAGGCTGGTCTCCAACTCCTGAGGTCAAGCAATCCACCCGCTTCAGCCTCCCAGAGTGCTAGGATTACAGGTATGAGCCACCTGTGCCCAGCCTATTTTAGTTAATTTAAATTTAAATAGCCAAAATGGAGCTCACAGTTACCCTAATGGATATCACAGTATCCAAGGGGCTAATTTTATAGATGGGAAAACTGAGGCCCAGAAAGAACGAAAGCCTTGTAAGTGACACAACCAAGGTACCTGTATTGGGCTGTGTAGCTGCCACTATGACTTGATGTTTCCTCCTCTCCTATAGCTTCCAAGTGATATTTTGAGGAGCATTTGTCAACATCCCCTTAGACTACACTCTCTTTGAGAGAAGGGTCCTATTACTTCTTCCATATCTTTCACCCACCTTAGCATGGGCTTGGCATAATAACAACAATGATGTCTAACAGTAACTGGGCATTCACTCTATCCTAAGGACATTACATGAAACATCTCAATAATGCTCTCACTAGGCCAGGCGCAGTGCCTTGTGCCTGTGATCCTAGCACTCTAGGAGCCCAAGGCAGGTGAACTGCTGAGCTTATGAGTTCAAGAACAGCCTGAGCTAGAGCAAGACCTCATCTCTAAAAATAGCTGGGCATTGGCTTGGCGCCTGTGGCTCAAGTGGCTAAGGCACTGGGCACATACACCTAAGGTGGCGGGTTCAAATCCAGCCCGGACCTGCCAAACAACAATGACGGCTGCAACCAAAAAATAGCCAGGCGTTGTGGTGGGCGCCTGTGGTCCCAGCTACTTGGGAGGCTGAGGCAGGAGACTCGCTTGAGCTCAGGAGTTGGAGGTTGCTGTGAGCTGTGAAACCACAGCACTCTACCCAGGGGGACAGCTTGAGGCTCTGTCTCAAAAAAAAAAAAATAGCTGGGCATTGTGGCGGGTGCCTATAATACCAGCTACTTGAGAGGCTAAGAGAATCACTTGAGCCCAAGAGTTTGAGATTGCTGTGATGCTACAGCACTCTACCGAGGGCAAAAAAGTGAGATTCTGTCTCAAAAATAAATAAAATAAAATAATGTATCCTCATTTATAAGTGAAATATGTTTGTAATTTCCTTTTTATAATAATATATTTTCTCCAATTTTAATATCAGGTGTATCCAGATTAAGTAAAATGATTTTGAAGTATTTCTTCTTTTTAAATTGTCTATAAGATTTTGCATGGTCTGTTTTTTGAAATTATCTTTTACTTTTATTTATAAATATTAGTTGTCTATTTTTTGAGACTTTGGGAAAAAAGTAAAAGAAGTTAACTGAGGACTCCATACTGAACCTTAGATTCAAAGCATTCTTTTTTTTTTTTTTGCAGTTTTTGGCTGGAACTTACCACCTCCAGCATGTGGGGCCAGCGCCCTACTCCTTGAGCCACAGGCACCACCCAAAGACAAAGCATTCTATAAAAGACACTCTTATTTGACAATTTGAATGTTATTTTCTTTGCATTATTATTATTGCTTAATAAAAAAATAAAATAATGCTCTCACTGACATGATGAGGTAGATAAATTAGCCGTAAGAGGTAAGGTAATTTGCCCCAAGTTGTATTACCAGTAATTAGAGAAGCTGGGAGTTGAATCAAGGCAGCCAGCTGTTAGAGCCATGCCCTGCACCATTGGGCTGTACAGTGTCATTGAGAGTTGCTGCAGGAAGGCTCCCTTGAGTGGGGAACAACTTGACTTTCATGCCCAGCTTCCTAGCTCTAGGAGGTCTGGAGATAGTGAAGAATGATAGGAAGTTGAACAGGAAGTTTCATCCACAGTTGCTGGATACTTGTTATGTGTGTTATTTCATTTGATCACCAGTTATTTACAAACGAGGCCATTGAGTGGTAGAGAGGTTAAGTGGCTTACCTAAAGTTACTCAGTCAATAAGAAGCACAATGGAGACTTGATCCCAGGTTTTTTTGATTGATACTACACTCTGCAGTCAGAGTATAGTATCTGGCTAGGTGTGGTGGCTCATGCCTGTAATCCCAGCACTTGGGAGCTGAGGCAAGAGAATCACTTAAGCCCAAGAGTTTGAGGTTGCTGTGAGTTGTGGTGCCATGGCACTCTACTGAGAGTGACATAGTGAGACTCTGTCTCAAAAAAACAAAAGGAGTGTAGTATCTGCTTGTCAAGTACAAGGGGAAGGAACACCAAGAGGGGTGAGTGTTAGGATAAGTGTAACTGATGTATACCAAGATCTTGCACTAGGAACCAAAGATCCTATGTCTTCATCCTCTTCAATTTCTTTTCTGAAATGATTGCTTTACAGACTCCATTCTTCTCTGAACACCCATACAAATCTGGAATCACTAAGTGACTCTAAGTTCACAAGGGCAGTGTCCTTGTCTGACCTAGGGACCACTGTATTTCTGGTGCCAAACATAGGTCCTGACATATTACAAATGGTAATATGTGAATAAATGAATGATAGGGAGTGGGAGTTGAAACCCAGGAAACCTAAATCACTTGTCCAGCTCTCAATCATCCCACCTCTTATCCTCATTCTCAAAGGAGGCAGCAGACTACCAAGATATGAATCTCAATTCCTCTTTCATTACCTATCTACTTTTAACAAGTCATTTAATCTTTCTAAACCTCAGTTTTCCTCTTTTATATAATATGACTGACTTGAAAAGGCAGGTAGAGATATTAGTGCATTATGGAATGTTTAGCAAAGGCCCAATAAAGATTATTGCTGTAGATTTACAAGGTTATAGTGAGTACTAAATGAAGTGAGGAATGTGAAAGTGTCTTATAAATAATATATTATTAATGTAAATTCCTCAAACTCTGAAAGGGAATGGAGGGCAAGAGATGAGCCTACAGAAGGGAGAAAGTTTTGAGAACGAGAAGGGCACATTTTAGCTGCACTTGTTAAAAGCTAAGTAATTGGCCTCCTCATCATCCCCCCAGCTAGGACTTGACTAACTTCTTGGCTCAGGGCCTTAGACTAAAAAACTACTTGGAGAATTTAAAGAAAGCCCAAGAAAGGGCAGAGAGCTGACATTAAAGGGATACCAAACAAGAGTCATGAAGAAGAAT